CCCGCACCCAGTTTTGGCGTGTGTGAATTTATTTATTTATTTTTAGCTTCCACCAATAAGTGAGAACATGTGGTATTTCTCTTTCTCTGCCTGACTTGATTCACTTAATATAATTCTCTCAAGGTCCATCCATGTTGTTGCAAATAGCAGTATTTCATTCGTTTTTATAGCTGAGTAGTATTCCATTGTGTAGATAAACCACATTTTCCGTATCCACTCATCTGATGATGGACATTTGGGTTGGTTCCTGCCTCAGTATTTTTTACACATGCTGGTGTCTCATGATGCCAGCCATACAGTTCATGTATCCATTCCAGTGGTTATGGTGTTTGGGCTTTTTCAAGTTTATTTTTTCTCTTGTGAAGAATATTGTTGCTATCATCTTTCTATCAGTGTGCAAGTGCCAACGCATTATAAATTCTCAGATCATTAGAGAAAAATTGTTGTTCTAGAATGTGATCAAGTTTACATTTACAGGATATAGCAGTGGAGAGTATTGATTGACTCCTCTTCCATTTGTGCCTATTTGTTAGCGATGGTCTTCCACGTTTGGGATTATCTAATTGACTAAGTTTTGTCCTTCTAATTAGTGGGACTTGAGATCTACTTGACATCTTATTTGGCTACTAACTCTACTAAAGATACGGACTTTTATATATATGTGATTTTTCATTTTCTGTTAAATATGTTTTCTTTATTTTTTCACTTTCTGATGTTTAATCATTGTCACTCTGGACGTAAATCCTTTTATATTGCATGTATCGCAGATATTTTCCCTCCACTTTATTGTCTTTTACCTTCCATAATGTTAATGTATTTGAATCTGTCAGTCTCTTCCTTTGTGGCTTACCCTTTTTCTTATATGAGAAAATTCTCCATGTTTTTGCATCAAGAAAAAAAAAATTGCCTGTAACTTGTGTTCTGGTCTTATCTTTTGTTTATAAATCTACAGTAAATTGGTTATTGTTTATAGAATAGAAAGAGATACAGTATACTTTTCAAATTAGATACCAGTGTTTCTCTACTCCTTGTGTTAAAGTGTTGGTGATGTTTGCCAGTGCTGTACAATGCCTGTTCTATCATTAATCAACTTTTTATATAAACCCCAGACCATTGGAGACTCCAATGGTCTGTTGTTTATCTTGGGCTGTTTGTTTATCTCCATGCTAAATCTGTACTATCTATAATATGATATTTTTAGAATCCTTGATATATGTTAGACAACCCATTCCCTTTTTTGTAAGAAAATTTTGTGTGTTGTTAGACATTTATTTTTCCCATTAGGTTTAGAGAGGTACTTTTTGTTGACTCTTAAAAAGTGTCTTTTTGAGATTTATGGAATTTTAAAAAATATTTTGTGAGTGGACATCTTGGGGACAGTGAATTCTTTCAAAGAATGTGTGTCATCTTTCCTCTTGTTTCATTTTGTTTTCACATTTACACAATGGAATGTAATCTACTGGCTGGTCAGGAATCATTTTCTCCTGAAATTGGGGAAGTGGGTATTTTTTTTTCTTTTGGAAAAATACACTTCTAAACCCTTCATGTATTTTCTAATCAAGGGCAAATTCACTGTCAAAATACTGTGGACGTCAGTGAAATGCTTTGGAGGTTGCAACTCCTAACCTATTCAAGTTCAGAAGAGCTTCTCTGGAATCTTGTCTTAGTATGCTTTTGTATATATGAAAGTACTTCAAAATGTATGTGGCAAGTAGAATTGAAAGATGATATGAATCTTTCTCTCAACTTTGTAAAATACCTTCATATGCTAAAACAATGGGCGGAAAGCTGCCTTGAGGCTCAGGAGATAGGAATTTTGCATAGATCTTAGGTGCCATGCCCTCTTTTTTATGCTCTACTTCTTATCTTCCCAAGAACTTTCTAGCCCAATAAAGTGGGACAGAGAGAAAAAGGAAAATAATCTGTGATAAATATTACACAAACAAGTTAAAATTAATACATTTGCAGAGGAAAATTTTAACTCATCCAGGTGAGTCTGACTACTTCTAATGGCCTGCTGTCCTTCGGGAAAATATGGTCAGCTGGACCTCATAACAAGTAGGATTTCTACAAGCCTTCTGACCTCTCATGCTTGGAGAAGGGAATACATGAAAAAGCTTCCACTTCTTCAGTGTATATTTGTTCATTGAAACCTCATTCAGACTTTACCCTGTGCCGCATGGAGTTCTGTGTGATCTGGTCAGTAGTAAGGAAAGAAATGGAAGAGATTTTCTCACAAGGAATCGTGGTCTTAATATGTGTGTCATTTGTGTATTATTTCCTTCATTTTTCCAAGGTGAACGAGATGCTTCCATTAGAGAACAATAAGACTCATAGCACCCACAGTAAAAATGTAAAGATCAGTTTCATGTTTTCATGGTGCTACGAAATTTATGAGGAAGTGAGAATGTACTCAGTTATGATTCTGATGACTTTATGTATTTATTATGAGAGATGTTTGGAGACTACAGAATTGTATCTGAACATTTTTGAGTTGAGTGTACATCCCTGTGTTATCTTCTCACCCTTGTCCTTTAAACATGTGGAATGTTTTAGGAGTCAGTGGCCTTTGAGGATGTGGCTGTCACCTTTACAGAAGAGGAGTGGGCTATGCTGGATCATTCCCAGAAAAAACTCTACAGAGATGTCATGGGGGAAATCTATACAAGCTTGACTTCTGTGGGTAAGGATGACAACATTCCTTCACTTGTCAATTATAGTGCATACATTTCTTACCCATCAAGGCAGTTCCACAGTTTGGAAGGTGGAAAGAGAATACTTTGGTGACTAAATCAGGCATGTTTGCAGTTCATCAAAAACATAGAATCTAATATTATTTTATTATTTGTAACAATTCATGATTTTTTTTGGTTGTGCAATTTAGGAAAAAAATGGGAAGAGCAGAACTTTGAAGATCAGTACAAAAATCACAACAGAAATTTAAGGTAATTTGTGTTCAGAAGATCTCGCATGTCCCACAGGAGAATCTTAATATGTCATAAAATTTTTAAAATAAATCACCCCAACATTAAATTTATTTGTAGAAAATGTTTACCAAAAATATATATTGAAATGTGACATAATTGTTGAGTGATTGCAAAACAGGAAAACGTATTGAGAAACTGCATATATAAATATCACTGTTTTGTTTGATAGATGTGGTCAAACTGTCCTGCAGACCATTCAGTCCATTCATTTTCAAACAATTCACACAGGGCAGAAAACCTACATTTTTTCTGATATTAGTAAATGTAAAATTGTCAACAAACAAACAAAATAAATAAACAAAATAATGTGCTTCTCGTTTTTTGCAGCAGTCATATTGTAGAGAAAGTCAGTGAAAGTAAAAGTCATCACTGTGGACAAACCTTCAGCCAGAATCCAACTCTAAACCTGAATGAGAAGAATTCTCCTGAAGTAAAACAATGTGCATGTAGATTATGTGAAAAAGCCTTCATATGTCATTCATCCCTGAATAGGCACATTGCATCTCTTACTGGACTGGAACCATATGAGAATCAGGAATATGGAGAGAAGGCATATAATCGTAAGCAACTTGGGAAAGCCTTGGGTTATCTCCACCCCTTTCAAATTTATAAAAGGACTCTCACTGGAGAGAAACCCTATGAGTGTAAGGAATGTGGGAAAGCATTCACTTTTCTTTCAAGTGTTCGAAGTCACATGGTAATACACACTGGAGATGGACCTTATAAATGTAAGGTATGTGGGAAAGCCTTTGACCGCCACAGTTCATTTCACATGCATGAAAGGGCTCACAATGGAGAAAAACCCTATGAATGTAAGCAATGTGGTAAAGCCTTTGGTTGGTCCAGTTCCTTTCGAAGACATGAAAGAACTCACACTGGAAAGAAACCCTACAAATGTAAACAATGTGGTAAGGCCTTTAGTTTTTTTAGTTCTCTTCAAAGACATGAAAGAACTCACACTGGAGAGAAACCCTATGAATGTAAACAATGTGGAAAAGGCTTCATTTCTCTCACAAGTGTCCGAAGACACATGATAGTACATACTGGAGAAGGACCTTATAAATGTAAGGTATGTGGAAAAGCCTTTGGCAGCCACAGTTCATTTCACATGCATGAAAGGGCTCACACTGGAGAAAAGCCCTATGAATGTAAGCAATGTGGTAAAACCTTCAGTTGGTTCAGTTCCTTTCAAAGACATGAAAGAACTCACTCCGGAGAGAAACCATATGAATGTAAAGAATGCGGAAAAGCCTTCATTTTTCTCGCGGGCATTCGACGTCATATGGTAGTACACACTGGAGATGGACCTTATAAATGTAAGATATGTGGGAAAGCCTTTGACCGTCCCAGTTCATTTCACATGCATGAAAGGACCCACAATGTGGAAAAACCTTATGAATGTAAACAGTGTGGTAAAGCTTTTGGTTGGTCTAGTTCTCTCCGAATACATGAAAGAACTCACACTGGAGAGAAACCTTATGAATGTAAACAATGTGGTAAATCCTTCAGCTGTTCCACTTACTTTCGACGGCATGAAAAAACTCATACTGGATAAGAATGCTAAATGTAAGGAATGTGGAAAACCCTTCCGTTGGTCCATATACTGACAAAGACATGTACAAATGTACACTGGATTGAAACCCTATCAGTTTTAAAAATGCAGGATGGTTTTAAGTTTTAACAAAGCCATGTGAAAACTCACACCGCTGTAAAACTTTATAAATGTCAGTAATATGAAAAGCATGATGGAAATTCAATTATATAATGCTCTAAAAAATTTACAACATGAAATGTGTTGTAAAATAATAAATATATTTATCAGTGCCTTATTTCTTAAAGTGGATCTATGGACTATTGATTTCTACTTTTGCAAAGAAACATTGAGGTGAGATAGTCCTGTAAGTAGTCTTTAAGCAATAGTACATGAGTTTAATAGTTTTGTTTTTAGGTGAGTTAATAAATGTTTTCTCATTTTGAATTGAAGTGTATTGTATCTATGGGAGAATTGATGTATATTATTAATATGCAGGTATGTTTACTTTTTATATACTTTAATTGTTCATTGACCAATGGACCATTTTTAAATGAATCTTTGTTAATTACTGAGGTTTTTGTACTGACCTATATGGCAGGTACTAGATACCTCTCATCTATTATATATATTCTACCATTATTTCTCATGGGAAAAATAACATTTAAAAAAATGGAGCAAAAAGCTTTATTCAATTTTTCTTCCTAATAAATAATTGGCATCAATTTAGAAGTATGTAATGTTGATTATGGAATATAAACTCAAGTGAATTATTATTTTTGTTTCTTTCCCTACAGTGTATTGGACACTATTTTCCAAAAGTAACTTAGGTAAAATGTATACATTCATTTACTTAGTAGCAAACTATATAATATTTTTTTTAAATCACCTTTTTGAGTCCAGTGAGTCCAATATGTTGAGGTAAGTTGTCAGAATAGAAACCTAGCAAGGAACAAAGGCAAGATCACTTTTCCAGTCAAAGCTTTCTTGCTCAGAGAGTATGTTTCTGATGCTAATTTATCAACATCCCTCAAATCCCAGGCAGTGTAGACTCAGATCATACAATATTAGGCACAAAAAATCCAGGCACTTTAGGCCCTGGATACAGAGGTATGAAACAAAATTTTGAAGTGTGGGTGCTTATAGTTCTGTGCAAAAGGGAGATGGTTAATAGATGGTAAACCTTTGATTTGTAAGACCAAATTAAGGGGTTTGAAGGAAAGTAAATGACATGCTACGTAATAGGAAGCTGGTATGTGTGTATATGTGTGTATGTCTTCTCTATGTAGGGTAGGGACATCGGTGAGGAAGGATTTCATCATTGATCCTGTTTCCACGTGTAGTACATCTTTAATACTTTTTCAGGAACTGCTTAGGTGTGGATGTAGACAATGCGGAGCAATACAGACAGCTTGCATTCCTTGCATAAGTCATGATTTTCCATGGAGATGAAAATATACATGTCGTTAATCTATATTTTTGCCATGGTTAAACGTTTTGGCTTCTGTCAAATGTGACCATGAGTTTGGACATGGTTGTCTGGGTCTTGAGACTTTCCATTGATTTGGGACACAGGTGTTCATGGTATCGGGGGGAGGGGGTTGTATTTTTTTTGTCAGCTGGCTGGCACAGGGATCTGAACCCATGACCTTGGTGTTACCAGCACCGTTGTGGTGTTTTTGTTTTAAGTTAACATGATTTGAAAGGATTTTGAACAGGCATTTTATGTTTGCCGTTATCAGTTTTCTGCTGCTTGGACTCACACAGTAGGTACCCATGGAGTCCTTCCTAGCTTGAGAAAGGGTTAAGGTCATCTCCACAGTGCTAGCCCATCATGGGTTTTTCCTGAGTGGAGTGATCGCTGTTCAAGTCTACTGTTATTTCCCAGTTAAAACACTGAAAAGAGTTACAAATTTTAGAGGTCCGTTGTTCAAACAATAGAGGTGAGCTCCAGATAGACAGTAACATTTTCAGTAGTATCCTAATTTAGTGGAAAAGTGTGTATACTTGATATCCTGAAACAAAAAAACATGTTTTTTTGTTTTGTTTCATTTTCTTTTAATAAAAGGAGTAGTTGGGAAGCTTTGTGTTTCAATGATGCCCAAAACTCCAAAATCTGTTTTGTTCTTCACAGGTATGATTACCATGTGTTTAGACTTCCAGCACACTTAATGGAAGGGGGTAGGGAAACATAACAGTTTTGTGTTTTATGACAAAGCAAAGAAAATCTAGACTCTGCTCATTTTTTAGTTCTAATGTTTTCTTTGCAATGTGTAGAGTTCTGATTTTATGATTTTTAATGTGATTTGATCTTGCCTGTCAAGCCATTCCTTCCATCTTACAAGTAAAGAAAGCTAATTGCAGAGAGTGTAGGGCCATCCTCAAACTCTTATAGCTCATAATAATGGAATTTGTCAGTGTGATGGCCGAAAGTGTGCCACCTTGTGACCTGGATACTGTCAAAAATTTTAAACTGAAAAGAACACTGGAAAATTTGCCTAATTATGTACATGTATGAATATGGCATCAAATTTTACAAACAGGGCTCATAATGCAACAATAATATTTTATTTATATCATGTTCTATTAAAGACAAAATTATAGGGACATAATCGAAATCTGTGATGAAGGATGAAGGAGTTTAATACACATGGGCACCAGATGTGCCTATATATGAGGTAATTCAGTGTTCTCCATCTTGATGGTTTTGTTATAATTGCCCATCTGTGAAATTTTACAGTTATGTTTTAGCACATGCATGTATTAAAAATGATAGAAAACAAACATGCTTTCATAGACCTATGACAATGTTAAACTTTTCTGTTTCTTAGTTTTTATGTTGCAACACTTCTTTCCACCACCAGGGAGTCCTTCATAGGAAGAGTTAAGGGACCCAGGAGAAAAGAACTCAGACCTTAACAGGCCTTTCTTGGGGCCTTATCTGATCTTAAACACCCTATAGGGCCACACCAACCTTCATCTCACAAACACAACTAAATAAAAGTGAGGCAGCTCCTGGAGTTTTACAGTTTACAGTAGATTCTTCAGGTTAAATCTTAGGGATTGCTGGGGTTCTGAAACATAAAGTCACTCACCACTGTTCTCCCCAAGTAGGATCTCCTTAGGTGTACCCTGATAATTGAGCATCATCAATATCATGTGTTTGTGTGACCAGTCTTGTAGCTATTTTGATCTCTAAGCTTTTCATTTCAAGCCCTCTCTCTCCCTTTTTCATGAAGAAATGTCTTTAAGAATGGACACCTGACCCATTCTCTGGAAAATTTCTCTACAGCAGCCCCAGGTGACTGTGAGGTGAGATGGTGGAGGAAGCAGTGGCAGAACCAACATCATTGGACTCTCACAACCTCAGCTACTGCCATCCTCTCTGCCCCATAGTTATTAGCTCAGCACCCACAAGCACAATCACACCATTGTCTCAGACCTGAAAAAAATCATGCTGTAAGTTTCCTCCTTAGCACTGCATTTGTTCTGTAAGTTTTGATATTTTGTGTTTCCAATTTCCTTTATCTCTAGTTATTTTCTGATTTTCTTTGTTATTTCTTTTTTGGTGCAGATGTTCTTTGAGTGTTAATTTTTCTAAACTTGTGAATTTTTGAGTTTTTGTTCTATTATTCCTAATGTCATTATGTTGAGATGAGAGGAAGCACTTTGTATGATATCTATTTGCATTTTTTAATATTATTTTTCTAAAATTTCATATTAATAGATCTTAATTGTTTTTATATTTTAATACTATAAAATTTACATTTATATTTGTATTTTTAAATACTTATTGTAATATTTTTATATTATTTATGATTATATGCTATTTTTATTATTTTTATGCAAAAGTATCTATTGGGACTTAATTAACCCTTGCCAATGCCTTTCACATATTGGTACATGTTATTGCCAGTATAATTAGGTAAGATATAGACATAAAAGTCATACAAATTGCACTGGACAAGGTATATAAGTATCCCTGTTCATAGGTTATATCATCTTTTATGTAAAACCAAAAGATTGCACAAATAAAAGTTTAGAACTAATAAATGAATTTTGCAAACTAGATACAAAGCCTATGTGCAAAAATTATTTACATTGTTATACATTAGCACTGAACAATGCAAAACCAAAAGTCAGAAAACAATTTTATTTGCAATGGCATTACAAAGAACACAACAGAAAATACACAACAATAAACAGCTACACTTGGATGATAACTAAAGGAGAGCCCTGGAGCACATCAAAGGAATAAAGGAAATACCAGTGAGCATGGAATCTCAGAATTGCCACATGGAGAATGGAAGGAAACACCTGGCCTCTATCATCCCATCCCCCAGCCAGGAGCAGCAGGGAACCAGGAAGAACTTCTTGCTGTGGGAAACAGGAAGCAAGAGGACCCCCGCAGCCCTCATTAACACCTTGAAAACCTACTGTCCTCATTACTAGGGACCCTGGCAGTCCTGACAGCAGCCCTCATCAACCCCTTGAAAACATATCATCCGCATCACTAGGGACCCTGACAGTCCTGAGGACACTACTTGGAGTCCATACAGTTGTGCTCCCCCATAGGAGCTGACACTGTGCCTCCCTCTATGCGGCTCATGTGCCTACTGCATCATCTTGGAGTGGGAACTGCTGCTGGGGGATGAGTGATACCCATTCATTCCAGAGACTAAGCCACCATTTAACTGACTTCCCCAAGCAGAGGTGAGAGCAGCAGTTACATCACTACCCTAAAGAACTAGTCAGTGATAGAACCACTCCACCAGTTTCTCTCAGTTGCAGCAGTGCCTCTCCCCCTCAGACTGGAATTGAAGCTTCAAAACTGCACACTCCTGCTTGGGGAATCTTTAATTATCTCTTCAGTAATGGCTGTGCCCTGTTCCCCAGGACTGAGCTGAAGGGGTGCATCACCCCCTGGGTAATTGTTTAGGCTGAGAAGCTGCTTGGCTGAGCTGCATAGCTGTGCATCCCAGGACTGATCTGTCACAGTTCATGTTCCAGACAAACAGAGCAGTGGCTGAGCTGAGATACCCTGCCCTGGGGGTTGAACAAGTCTTGTACTCTGCTTACCTGGAGCTGGACTATTCTAGAGACTGAGCTGCTGAGACTCCCCTTCTCCCTGAGAATGGAGTCAGCACTGTGTTGCTCCCTGCCCCTCAAGGCATAAGTAATAGTTGCACCCCACCATTCTGGGTTCTCG